GACTGTTGGAAGTCATCACCTCTGGTCCTGAACTTTCAACAGACTCGGGATATGAGTGTACGGATACTGTCGGAGGATCTTCAGCCCTTTCATCAGGTAAGTCGGTTAAGGTAAGCGTAGGTTCACCAGTAACCATCTCTGACCCAGGATCTGCTCCATTCGGACCCTGTGGATGCTGGCCAGGCAATGTCACAGGCAGAGTCGAAGGGGGCATTGGAGGGTGCAAAACAGGTAAGTCGATTGTCGTGGTGAATCTTATTGGGTCTGAGCCGGAGGAATCAGGTGAGTAGGGCAGGACATCAAGCTCAAATGGATCAGGATCATCACGCTCTGAAACTGGAACTGGCTGAGACAATGGGCTGAGTCTTTGCTTCTGGGGTTCGGGTTGCTTAGAGGAGGAAAGGTACCCGCAGGGCAGCAGCAAATCCCTGTGCAGCGTTCTAACAGGGCGGTCTTTGCCTTCGGGTCGGACTGTGTACACCGGAAGAGTGCCAGCCCTTTTTAGGACGATGTATACCTCAGCTTCCCACTTATCAGCGAGTTTATGCTTGCCACGGACTTTCACGTTCCTCACAAGGACTCGGTCCCCTACATCCAACTCCGATGCTCTGATTTGTTTATCATATCTTTGTTTATTCCGATCCATAACTTTTCCTGCATTCTTGGTTGCGATTTTGTAACTTTCTTTGAGATGAGATTTCAGCTTGTCAACATATTGTGAGTGCGACGTTGGTTGTTCGGACACAGGTAATCCAAATGCCAGGTCAACCGGAAGGCGGGGCTGTCTCCCAAACATCAGCTCGTAAGGCGAGTAGCCAGTGACGTCGTTTTTAGTACAGTTGTAAGCGTGTACCAACGGTTTCACAAAATCCTTCCAGTGAACCTTGTCCTGATCCTGTAGCGTTCCCAACATGCTCAAGAGCGTCCGATTGAATCGTTCGACAGGATTGCCGCGTGGATGGTATGGAGTTGTCCTGATTTTATGGATTCCGGTGACTCAAAGTCTGGGCCTTGATCGCTGTGAAGGCGTTCAGGAATGCCATAGTGGACCAGGAGATTGTCCCATAACGCTTTGGCAACTGTTTTGGCTGTTTGATTCGGGGTGGGAACTGCGACAGCGTATTTGGTGAAATGATCCGTCATAACAAGTACGTTCTTGGTGTTACTTCGATCAGGTTCGATTGACAAGAAGTCCATGCACACAAGCTCGAGCGGCCTTGAAGTTTTAATATTGACAAGGGGAGCAGCTTTTTCTGGTTGTGCTTTCCTTTTGACGCATCTCTCACAGCTCTTAATCTTATTGCTGACATCTGTTGCCATTCTCGGTCAGTAGAACCGGTTTCGGACGAGGTCCAATGTCCTATCTGTGCCAAGGTGACCCATCTTATCATGTAGTTGGATGAGAACTTCAGACCGACACTCCTCAGGAAGAACCAGCTGGTAACTTGGCTCACCTCCAATGTTCCTCTTCCTGACGAGAATGTCATTTCGGATCTCCAGACGCGTGAGCTCCCGCAGGAGAAGTGGCAAATCGGGGAGCTGTTCTCGTAGATTAGGTGGCGGACTCTCACCCGTCTCCAATTGCACAATGACGTGGCTGATGACTGGGTCGGCCCTCTGTTTGGCGGTGATCTCCGCAGCAGTGAGGGACGGAACGACGGATGACGAGAATTGCTCGTCATTCACAAAGCTGTCTGGCAAGGCGTCTGTGTCAATGGAGAGTGCTTGAACAAGAGCCACAACTTGGTCTTCAGTTTCCGGATGACTAAAGACAAGTTGTCGATCACAGATTGCCTGGACTTCATGTTGGTCGATACAGATTTGTGTTGGGTGGTCAAGATGCTGGGCAGTGAATCTGAGGATTCTCTCTCTTTCTCGTTCCGATTGCATGTCTTCAAGGTATTCTGCTTGTGGTAGCCGGGAAAGTGCATCAGCGTCTGTGTTGAGTTTTTCTGCTCGATATTGGATTTTGAAGGAATATGTGGAGAGTGCAGAAAGCCATCTGTATCCTGTAGCATCCAATTTGGCGGATGTTAGCAAGTATGTCAATGGGTTGCTGTCTGTGATGACGGTGAATTCACAACCATACAAGTAATCATGGAACTTGTCTGTAACTGCCCACTTGAGAGCTAAGAACTCTAACTTGTGAGCAGAGTACTTGCTCTCACTCCGTGACAATCCTCGACTAGCATATGAAACCACTCGGTTCTTGCCGTCATTTTCTTGATATAAGACAGCGCCAAGACCAGTACAGCTTGCATCAGTGTGTAGGATGAAAGGTTTACTGGGGTCCGCGAATATGAGAACTGGCGCTTGAGTGAGTTTCTGGATTAGTGTGTCGAATGCTTGCTGACAAGCAGGGGTCCAACGTCCAGCAAAAGGCTCTTTGGGATTGAGGAAGTTTTGAGACTTTGGCATATTCTTTGACCTTTTCTGGCTGGGAGGATACCCTGACGTTAACTCGTTTAGGGGTTTAGCAATGTTTGAGTAACCCTCCACAAACCGACGATAATATCCCGCAAAACCGAGGAACGACCGTAGATCTTTCAGGTTCTGTGGGACTTTCCAGGTGGTCAGGGCAGCAATCTTGTCGGGGTCTGTCTCTACACCATTCTTAGATACAACATGCCCAACATAGCGAACAGAAGTCTGGAAAAAGACACATTTTTCTACCGATAGCTTCAGACCATACTCTCTTAAACGTTGGAGCACTTTCATTAAGCGTTTCTCGTGTTCCTCTAGAGTTGGCGCGAACACAATCAGGTCATCGATAAAGACCAGGGATTCCTTCAAATTGAGTTCGCCCATGCAATGCTCCATTAGACGCTGAAATGTGCTCGGGGCGTTAGTCACACCTTGGGGCATGCGATTGAACTCGTAGAACCCAACGGGGCAGACAAAAGCTGTCTTGTGTACGTCTGTCCCTTCCATTTCAATTTGATAGTACCCTGATTTAAGGTCAAGTACTGAAAACCATTCTGAACCGGAGAGCGCTGAGAATGTGTCTGCTAACTTGGGCAGGGCATATGCGTCTTTGATTGTCTGCGAGTTCAATCTTCATCATCTTCTTTCATGGTAACTGGCCCAAGATGAATGCTGATCTGATCCATCAGACCTTTTAGTACTACTTCGAATGGTTGACCGCTACTCTCTGCGAGTTTCCTGATCTCTCTGAGGTAATCAGGGGGTTGAGCCGACTCCGCTGTACCTGTGGCGGAGCACTCACTCGCACCCGAAAGTGAACGAACAACAAAAACAACATTTGCGCCACTACGCGAAGGATAAGTGTATGGTAGCAAAGGTTCTAGAGATACTAACGCTGCCTTGTTAATAAATTCAACGATCCGGTTTTTGTATAACGCACTGTCTCTGTCTGTAACAGTAAACGTGGTTTTTATTTCACCATAACTACGTAATTGTTGAATAATCTCATCGTCGGATTGGGTGTTAGTTACACCGGAAATGACGACAGAATGAGCAACATTCACGTCGGCTTTGGGAAACAAATCCATTTTTAAAAACACTCTTTTTGTCCTTTAAACAAATAAATCACACACCTTCAACAAACCACAATGCACCAGGCTCCTGGCTAGCTCGCCACGCTGTAACAACAGGTTGTTTAGGCCAGATGTGACTGCGATTCAACTCTGAGTACTATTCAAAAGACTGGTTCGGGAAGGAGCCTGGGTTGTGAGGTGTAGAGTGAGTGATACAAAACAACTGATTGAGTTTTGCGTTTGGTATTGTATTAAAAGGAGAAAGTAAATAACACAAAATTGTACAGAATAACAATATAACAATACTGACAGCCACAACCTCGCTGATAACGATACTGTTCTCACGATTCACACGCTCTGTGTTAGAGTCCGTGCTCCCATTCAAAGGGAGAGAAGAGAAGAAACCAAAATAGTCCACGATAGTCCAATATTGTCCGTTGGACGTAAAGGAAAAAAATTAATTGATAGTCTTTTATCCTACCAGGAGTCCATGGCAGGGACAGGGAGATATCAAGATGAGGTGTGGAAACAGCTCAGTACAAAAAACCGGACCTGACAAGAGGCCAGAAAAAGACAAATGAATATTAGGAAAATAAGAGTTAGCTATGTAATGCTCTTAGTTGACTAAACTTAACTTCAATGTATCTATAAGATACAAGATATTTACAATCTAAAACTGCAGATTAAATCATCAAATTTCAAATCACATTCAATTAAATTAACATGTCAACATTTCATCAATAGAAAAGTCTCAGTATACACTAATGCTTAAACACTTCAATGAGAGTACTTCAATAAATATTTACATTTACATAGTCAATATTTCAAAAGATAGCTGCATACATTACATAATGTAGTACAATTAAATAATACACATACAAGTATGTGGAATCATTCATTCACGGGTGTAGATCCAAAAGGGATCAACCAAAAATGTCATTTCCAGTGCATCAAACGCACTTTGGTAATCAATAAATTATGTATTTCAATTCAGGATCATAGTGCACTAATAATAATTATCTTCTCTAAATGTTTCAGTTATCATGGGAACATAATTTGCATGATAACTAAGTGTTGCGCAACAAACTTTAGAGTCTCTGACGTAGCTACAATAATCAGGTGTTGTCAATCCGGACATCACTGGGGATTTGCGGTTATTTACAAACAAAAGTGTCTAACCGGTATTAACAAACACTCACTGCGGTAAACAAAGATATTTATCTACACATTAACTTACTGCCTACAATTCGGGTTGGCTTGTTTATGCATAAAGTAAACAGCGTACCTTGAATTGCGTGGGCTTTGACGCTACTCCACACGCGCCCACATGGAAGCGTGGAGTCTACAAAGAGTTTGCAGAGATTAGCGACTGATCATGCGGTTTGCAACATGGACATTTAATTTGCATGATGCCGAACAGTTGGCAAAAGACTCACCTTTATGATAGAGGAAAAAACGCTCCGATAACAAAGTTGTGCAGCTTTGTAACGCTAGCCCGCAGCTATGACATGCCACAGGTACAGCGGAGGAGAGCGTCAAGTGGGGGAGCGCGCATCATAAGGGAAACCATCAGATGTGGCGGAAGCTGACCCGCAACAATAAAACTAAACTGAAATGCGGGTTACACTTTCATGGTTCAAAAGGGCTGCGGGGGATGGAAAATGTGAAAATCTGCACATGCGTCAGCCGGCACAAGCCCCATTCATTTAAACGAGTGACTTCAAAAATTCACAGCGAGTAAACTTGAGTGGTCCAAAAAAAATCACCTCCCTCAGCATTGACACACATGTAGAATGGAGCTTTGGGCCAAGAGCCAACTTTTGGACCATCCTGTAAAGATGTTTTCGAGAGGTAAAAAGATGCAATATGTTAGCATTGGCTAATTCTTATTCTGGGTCCACCCCCATCGGCCCGGGGTGGTATTGCAAGCATGTCAGCGCATGTCATTTTGGCCACTTTTGAGCCGGGACCCGCCCCCACTGGTCTGAACACATTTACAGTGCCTTGCGAAAGTATTCGCAAGGCATTGCGCCAAATTTCAGGCTTCAAACATAAAAATATAACATTTTAATTTTTTGTCATGAATCAACAACAAGTGGAACGAAATTTATTGGATAATTTAAACTTTTTTAACAAATAAAAAACTGAAAAGTGGGACGTGCAATATTATTCGGCCCCCTTGAGCTAATACTTCGTAGTGCCACCTTTTGCTGCAATTACAGCTCGATTTTGCACATCGAGAGACTGGAATTCTAGCCCATTCTTCCTTGCAAAACAGCTCGAGCTCAGTGAGGTTGGATGGAGAGCGTTTGTGAACACCAGTCTTCAGCTCTTTCCACAGATTCTCGATTGGATTCAGGTCTGGACTTTAACTTGGCCATTCTAACACCTGGATACGTCTATTTGTGAACCATTCCATTGTAGATTTGGCTTTATGTTTTGGATCATTGTCCTGTTGAAATCTCCGTCCCAGTCTCAGGTCTTTTGCAGACTCCAACAGGTTTTCTTCCAGAATGGTCCTGTATTTGGCTCCATCCATCTTCCCATCAATTTTAGCCATCTTCCCTGTCCCTGCTGAAGAAAAGCAGGCCCAAACCATGATGCTGCCACCACCATGTTTGACAGTGGGGATGGTGTGTTCAGGGTGATGAGCTGTGTTGCTTTTACGTCAAACATATCGTTTTGCATTGTGGCCAAAAAGTTCGATTTTGGTTTCATCTGACCAGAGCACCTTCTTCCACATGTTTGGTGTGTCTCCCAGGTGGCTTGTGGCAAACTTTAAACGAGACTATTTATGGATATCTTTGAGAAATTCCATGCCTTCCATAAAGGCCAGATTTGTGCAGTGCACGACTGATTGTTATCCTATGGACAGACTCTCCCACCTCAGCTGTAGTTATCTGCAGTTCATCCAGAGTGATCATGGGCCTCTTGGCTGCATCTCTGATCAGTCTTCTCCTTGTTTGAGATAAAAGTTTGGAGGAACGGCCGGGTCTTGGTAGATATGCAGTGGTCTGATACTCCTTCCATTTCAATATAATTGCGTGCACAGTGCTCCTTGAGATGTTTAAAGCTTGGGAAATCTTTTTGTATCCAAATCCGGCTTTAAACTTCTCCACAACAGTATCTCGGACCTGCCTGGTGTGTTCCTTTGTCTTCATGGTTCTCTCTGCGCTTTAAACAGAACCCTGAGACTATCAAAGAGCAGGTGCATTTATACGGAGACTTGATTACACCCAGGTGCATTCTATTTATCATAATCAGTCATTTAGGACAACATTGGATCATTCAAAGATCCTCACTGAACTTCTGGAGTGAGTTTGCTGCACTGAAAGTAAAGGGGCCGAATAATATTGCACGCCCCACTTTTCAGTTTTTTATTTGTTAAAAAAGTTTAAATTATCCAATACATTTCGTTCCACTTCACGACTGTGTCCCACTTGTTGTTGATTCATGACAAAAAATTTAAATTTTAAATCTTTATGTTTGAAGCCTGAAATGTGGCGAAATGTTGAAATATACTTTCGCAAGGCACTGTATAACCCATATCTGGTGAGATATTGAGCGCACAAGACTTACATCCGTTAGCAACCATCATATTTGCAGCCATCGACCCAGCCCGGAGAACCTTTTCTTGACAGTCGATGATTGCTTCACTTCGTTTACAGTTGTGTTTTATTGTTGATTTATTCTTAAGCCACATCCACATAGCATTGCAGAACTTGTATCACTTGACAAAGTAACACTGTTCATTTCTTGTACTTGGCAGATACTCCATTAAAGATCTTTTAAACCATGCTTTCTTCGCGGAGGACACGGGCGTTAGGGTGGAGCTCAATGAGGAGGATGATGGAAGGAAGACAACTATTGCTCTAAAGCTTTGGGTCGAAGACGCTAAGAAGCTGAAAGGGAAGTACAAGGACACTGGAGCCATTGAGTTCACCTTTGATCTGGTGGATGAGGTCCCTGAAGTGGTCGCTCAAGAAATGGTAAAATATAAGTCTAATTTTTGTCCTAATTTTAATTGTTTTAATTATATCAGTTACAAACGGTGATATACAGGTGAAACTCAAGAATATTATTCAAAACTTAATTTACTTCTGTAATTCAACTTACAATGTAAAACAAATACATGACAGACTCTTTTCATGTTAATGGGACGTATTAAGAAAATTGGACTATGAGCCATAATCATAAAAATTATGACAAAGGCTTCACTTTGCATGTTATGTGTCTATATGTTGGAGTTGAATTAAGGAAATACATGAACTTTTGAACAATTCTAATTTTCAGAGTTTTCACCTGCCATAACCACGGTTATATCCTACATCATTAAAGCCCCTGTTTGATTGCTTTTTAAAATGTATTTGCTATGTTGGACCATCCAACTGAAATGGTCACCAATAGAACAGCACTGCATAAAATAAAATATGATCTTTGTAAGTATGAACTGAGTAGTGAGAATTCTTCTCACACAGGTGGAATCTGGGTTCTTTCTTGACTGTGACGTTAAGATTGTCAGTAAGTCCATTCGAGACAGAGTTGCTCTGATCAAGTGGAAAAGAGAACGCAGAGTCACTGTGATGAATGGAGAAGTTGCGAAGAAGCAACAGTCGAACCTGCTGCAGGTCCCTGGAGCTGCTCCACCTGTGGCCCCAGACTGTGAGGAGCAGGAGGCAGAGCCACTGACCCTGGTCTGCAGTGTTCCCACCATCACATCTGCGTCAAGTATGATAATAATCAATTATAACCATGGAATGTGAAAATAGTACAACGCTTTAGTTGCATTTTCAGCATCTACAGCTAGTTATGTTAGTTAAGAAACATAGCTACTACTTATTTGTATAAATTGTGTGTGATCCCAGTGTGCTTTTACTACTGTCCTATATGTGCGATGCAACATCGAAATTTCCCCACTGTGGGACGAATAAAGGAATTCTTATCTTATCTTAAAAATATACTGTAAGTAGAATATTGAAAGGTTACAGTGGCTGCAGTGTCTGTGCTTGAGTCAGCAATGATATAATCATCAATGACTGCTTTTGCATTTCAATGAAGCAACACTGTATTCCTGAGTTTGTCCTTTCAGCCAAGGGCAACAACATGAGTTATGTTTTTTCCTGTTTACACAGTGAATATCGGAGTCAGTTCAATGATCGAACACCAGGCCCCACAGAATATGCCCTCTACTGAGATGTCCAGCCTCCCTTCACAGGATGACCCCACATTGCAGCAAGGGTCCCACCAGCAAACAGCAGCACAAGAACCCTGCACTGCACCTCCCCCCCATCTGCATCATGGACAAGCAGCAAGAATCCTCCAGGAGCCATACACTTATCAAACAGTGAGTCAGGTACTTCTGATGTTTTCCTTTTTAGTAAAATAATTACAAATAATTAATCATTATTATATTTAAATGTTTTAGTGCCTCAACAACAACAACAATCACTTACTTTGCCCACACCACCCACTTGTCACTGAAGGCACTGAGCAGTCTCCCAGGCGGAGAAGTGCCCCTGCGGTAGATATGGGCTGCTGTAGAATGCAATGTAAGACCGTCAAAATCAAGCAGGCAGGAAGTTTCAAAGATGTTAATGAAAAGGACTCGATTTACAGAAGCCACGGCTCAATATGTAATAATCACCCACTGCTATCTCCTGTACACTCGTCCTCGATCTACCCACAGCATGACTCAGCATCCTGCCATTTGAGTTCTACTCTTCGTCCTCTGAATTTACTGCCTCTGAGCCCACAGCCAGTCCACCACTGCAAAGCCTGCACGTTCCTCCTCAAAGAGAGGCCTAAAACACCAACCCCACAGACTTTTAGTAACCATACAATCCCCCCAAGCACTCAGTTTGTGCAAAAACATTCAACACAATTGCTTGAAGGTAAAAATCTTACTTTACTGGACCACTGTCTCCATTTCATTGTGGGGCGCAGAACCAGTTCCCCCACTCTCCACGTTGCAGGACTCCAAACTCAAACACGGCCTTTTTCTTTAAGTGACGACAGCAATCAGGACATGGATCTTCTATTGCCTTTGCCTCCAAATCTAGAATTTGTCCCAGTTCTATGGTATGGTAGAGATAGACAAATAGCCCAGCGATAGCTCTAGTGTAGGCTTGTCTGTAGCTGCCTGAACAATATTTATTTTGCTGCACCACTCATACTCATTCTCTTGTATTGTGCTATTAAGACAGTTTCTGCTCCAGGGACCCCCCCAACAGCACAAGGCCTCTCATCTTCTGCAGCTCCTCCTCCACAGACTGCACATGAACAGGTACAGCAGCCACAGATGAACAATGGACAAAACCTCTCTTTTTACTTTCAACAGCCAGCTGTTTACTGTTGTTTGTAGAGGATCCAAATGTAAACTAGCTAAACAGCAGTATACTGTAACATACTGTGTACAGTATATTACAGTATGTAATCATAAAAGCAATGTCAGCACTACACAGTTTTGCTATTTCAATTACTTGATGGGTTAGGGTTGATGGTGGGTAAACCACAAAGAGGTACATATTCCACAGTAGGCATTTTACTTTTACTCTCTGTATAATGGCGTTGTAGTGTTTAGTTGTCAAACCTGTTCAACAATTGTAGACTCCTCATGTGCCCCTTTATATCTGGCATTCAAAATACTGTGGTGTTCTGTCCCAAAAAACATCAGCATACATTTTCAAGTTTGGCAGCCCACCAAGCATGGCTAACTACAGTATTTAACTTTTTAATACAAACATGGTATTCTACTGTTGAAAATTTGCTGCAAATGAACAGTAATTCGTTATAGAGCAGACTGCACCCTGCACTATTTTTCCTTAAAATAATTTTGTATTTGACTTTCTCAACAGGTATCTGATGATGTGCCCTCCTCTCACACAAGTCCCCCAGACATGTCTGCTAACCCCCGTCAATCAGTACCTGTGCTGCCACTGCAGATAAATACACAGGTATGTCCTGCAGCATCCACACACAAAGCTAACTAACCTCTTGGCTCAGGGTTTATGTAAATGTTGTGTACGTCTAGACGTCTTTTTCATTTTGTATCATTTTCCCCTTTTCTTTCCCAGTTTTCTTCACCATATCCAGACACACACACTGGGGGTCACCAGCCCTCTCTGTTCTCCTGTCTCTCATCCACCTATCCAAGCAGTGGATCTGCCCTGCCCAGTCCATTTTGTTCACCCACAGCTCATCTTACTCTCCCTCTGAACTCCCCATTGCATTCCTCCAGCCTCACCTCTCTTTCGCCCTTCACTGTGCTGCACGTCCCCACGCTCTCTAGTCCACTGCTTTCCCCCACCATCATGCCAGCTGTGCCCCCACAGCAGTACGGCCCCGAACCCTACACAAGCCCATGTGGCATCCATCCCCCTCACTTCTTACCTTTCTCCCAGGTTCAGCTCACCCCTTACTCTGCTAAGTACCATGAGCATCTCCTGGCTGGGCAGCCTGTCCAGGTGAATATTTGACTCAGTTTTTAATTACTGGTCAAGGTATATAATATACTGTCAGAGACAAATCATTTGATTTATTACTAACCTAATGCAAACACTGTGGCTTTCATATGAACCTTGTATTGGTTTTAAAGAGTTAACAGAGTTGTTCTTTTATTTGCACTATAAGCAAAACAAAGCAGAAACAATTTTCATGATAAATGTATCTACTTCACTTCCAGGTACATGTGATTACTCCTCTGAAGAATCTGGGAGATCAGCTCCTTGCTCCTGGCTCCTCAGTCATTCCACCTGCTTCGGCTGCTCCCATGGGAGGTGAAGATAAAGGGACCGCTTCAGCTGCTCAGAGCATATGTCCAGGCAGAGTCCCTGACTTAGTCTCAGCAGAAACCCTACTTCCCTTGTATTCTCAAGGGTTATGTTCACCTCCAAAACTTCCTTCACCTACTGCTGTGTGTCACACAACAGGCACCTCTGCCTCTGATCAAACAGAGCAACACAGCAGACCCAGTGTAGACCCAGCATTACCTCCAAACTCAGCACCACCCATCCCAGGGGTGGCCCCAGCTGCCTCTGCTGCGTCGGCACAAGCACTAAATGTAGCCACAGCTCCACTGGCAGCGCTGCAGCCCGCTGGCATCCTCAGTACTGTGTCACTGCCTGAGTGTGCCTGCCTCCCTCCCACTCAGCAAAACACTGACACTACATCTGCAGCTAGCACCTTACAACAAAATCATTGTTTAGAGGTATGGGTAAAACCTAACTTTATTACTTTATGTGGAAGTATAGTTTAAAAGTTTAAAATATATAAATTAACTAAACACTATTAGCTATAAATGGTGTCTTTCATTTATCTTTTTATTTCACATTCTTTACTGTTGACACAGGATCTGCTGAAGGATAAACCAGCATCATTACCAAACTACTGCTTTGAAAGGTGCCAAACTTCAGCATAACTTGTTATACAATATATTTATAATAACAGAGGATTTGCTTTACTTTTTCATAGTGTCAACTCTGATGCAGCATCTGGAAAAGAGTATAGCGATGGTTATGATAGCCTTGCCAGTGTAGGAAAGGGGGATGGAAAACCTAAAAAACATCGCAAATCTGCACGAACACGATCGCGGCAAGAGAAGACCAGCAAACCTAAACTGAACATGCTTAATGTAAGACTGAACATGAAGGCATGCTGTTTAGGGGGAAAAATACTATGTCTTGAGTATTGTCTGCCTATCTGAATAATGTCTGTCCATCCACAGGTTTGCAACACAGGTGATAAAATGGTTGAATGTCAACTTGAAACTCACAACCACAAAATGGTGACTTTTAAATTTGATCTGGATGGAGATGCTCCAGAGGAAATAGCCACCTACATGGTGAATTGAGTCAACACCCATATTTTCCCTTTTTCTCCTTGGTACAAAGGTGTTGAAATGTTTATGTTTCCAGGTAGAAAATGGTTTTATCTTACTCCTAGAGAAGGAAATATTCATTGATCAACTGAAGGACATAGTGGATAAAGCTGAAGATATGCTGCACGAAAATATGGAGGGAGAGAAAGTGGTTGTGCTGAACTGTAGTCCCAAGCACGGCCAGACTTCTGACAGTCAGCTTGCAGAAGTATGGAGGCAATTATAGAAATACATTCTAGAACTTGTATACGCTTTCTATAAACTTTTATAACTTTATAGAGTCCACAGACTGCTGCTTTTCAACCTGTTTATCAACAAAATGGTGAGACAAACTCATTCATTAAAATGACTAATAATAATATATTATTATTAGTATATTAGGCCCTTATTTCATAATTAACCTGTTGTGGTTGCAGTTCTTCACACTGGAAAAAGATGGTTCATAATCTGCCCTGTAGAGGAGACCCCCACCCAAGAGACACTCTCCACCACAGCACAGTCGCCTGGGACCTCTGCTCCCACTCAGGATGACCCTGATGCAGGACGTCCTTCAACTGTCAGAGGTGACTATCAGCACCAGTTCATTTAACAATTTAGCAGCAACTTGGTAATTCTTTTTATTTATTTTGTTTGTGTGTTTGTAGATAATGGCTCATCTTCAACAATGTCAGGTGGAAGTGGAGGTTTTCCATATGATGTCTATGGATTCTGTAGTCCTCCTATAATGTCCAACACAGACCCCCTGCTCTTAGCTACTCTGTCCCCTCCTGTGTCGGCCCCTCCCACTCTGCAGTCTGTCCCCTCAGTTCAACCAACTGTCAGCTCTGTCTCACAGACTGTGGCCCGGCCTCCACAAACATCTGTCCCTCTGGAGGAGTCACAGACATCTCCAGTCGGCCCTGTGTCCCCTGATAACACTGTCCAGCCCTTATCAGAGCTCTCCCATCCAGGGGCTATAGCAGAGGAACTTCCCTGCTGTCCTCTAGTCATCCCAATGTCTTTGGATGTGAGTGGCCCTCAAACAGGCTCCCCTCTCACCCCTCTCCCCCTGCATGAGCCAACTCTATCCAAAGAGCCTCTGTCTGCAGCGTACACATCTGCTGCACGTGACCGGCCCCAACAGCCTGTGGTACTGCACCAGCCTTTCTCTAATGTGACAAAAGTGTCCTCTCTGCCCCAGAGCCCAGCGCCCTCCCAGCACGGCGCCACAGAGTCAGATGCAGAAGGGAGAGTGGGGCGTGGGGGCTTTGTGGATAGCACCATAAAGACCCTGGATGAGAAGCTAAGGAACTTACTTTATCAAGAATATGCTCCCATGTATCCATCGGGCAGCACTGCTGAGACCCCAGGATCAGGGACAGAATACATTCAGTCCCCTCCCGGCCCTGATAGTGCCACCCTAGGGTCAGGAAACAGCACCCCAGGGCCCATTGGGGAAGGCCGCTATCGGACCAACGAACAGCTTGTGAGTAGTAACATGAATAAAATACTTTTTACTATTGAGTTTGTAATTGTAATTCACCTTTTTTTAGCCACAGATTCCCGAAAGAATAGACAGCTTGAGCACACTAAGTGATTCTGCAGTGTGTGGTATGTAGACAGACACAATCACCATGTTACCGCAAACAGAGTTTTAATGGTGCGTTCAAAAATTATTCTCTAGCTTCTCTGTCAAGAAGACAAGTCCCTCATTCTGCTTCATGCTCTGGAACAAGAGGCCGCTTTAAGGTACACTTATTGACTTACTTTGAAAGTATTCGCAAGGCATTGCGCCAAATTTCAGGCTTCAAACATAAAAATATAACATTTTAATTTTTTGTCATGAATCAACAACAAGTGGAACGAAATTTATTGGATAATTTAAACTTTTTTAACAAATATAAACTGAAAAGTGGGGCGTGCAATATTATTCGGCCCCTTTACTTTCAGTGCAGCAAACTCACTCCAGAAGTTCAGTGAAGATCTTTGAATGATCCAATGTTGTCCTAAATGACTGATGATGATAAATAGAGTGTAATCAAGTCTCCGTATAAATGCACCTGCTCTTTGATAGTCACAGGGCTCTGTTTAAAGCGCAGAGAGAACCATGAAGACAAAGGAACACACCAGGCAGGTCCGAGATACTGTTGTGGAGGATTTGGATACAAAAAGATTTCCCAAGCTTTAAACATCTCAAGGAGCACTGTGCAAGCAATCATATTGAAATGGAAGGAGTATCAGACCACTGCAAATCTACCAAGACCCGGCCGTCCCTCCAAACTTTCATCTCAAACAAGGAGAAGACTGATCAGAGATGCAGCCAAGAGGCGCATGATCACTCTGGATGAACTGCAGATAACTACAGCTGAGGTGGGAGAGTCTGTCCATAGGACAACAATCAGTCGTGCACTGCACAAATCTGGCCTTTATGGAAGTGTGGCAAGAAGAAAGCCATTTCTCAAAGATATCCATAAAAAGTCTCGTTTAAAGTTTGCCACAAGCCACCTGGGAGACACACCAAACATGTGGAAGAAGGTGCTCTGGTCAGATGAAACCAAAATCGAACTTTTTGGCCACAATGCAAAACGATATGTTTGGTGTAAAAGCAACACAGCTCATCACCATGAACACACCATCCCCACCAAAGCTGTAGTTATCTGCAGTTCATCCAGAGTGATCATGGGCCTCTTGGCTGCATCTCTGATCAGTCTTCTCCTTGTTTGAGATGAAAGTTTGGAGGGACGGCCGGGTCTTGGTAGATATGCAGTGGTCTGATACTCCTTCCATTTCAATATAATTGCGTGCACAGTGCTCCTTGAGATGTTTAAAGCTTGGGAAATCTTTTTGTATCCAAATCCGGCTTTAAACTTCTCCACAACAGTATCTCGGATCTGCCTGGTGTGTTCCTTTGTCTTCATGGTTCTCTCTGCGCTTTAAACAGAACCCTGAGACTATCAAAGAGCAGGTGCATTTATACGGAGACTTGATTACACTCAGGTGCATTCTATTTATCATCATCAGTCATTTAGGACAACATTGGATCATTCAAAGATCCTCACTGAACTTCTGGACTGAGTTTGCTGCACTGAAAGTAAAGGGGCCGAATAATATTGCACGCCCCACTTTTCAGTTTTTTATTTGTTAAAAAAGTTTAAATTATCCAATACATTTCGTTCCACTTCACGATTGTGTCCCACTTTTTGTTGATTCATGACAAAAAATTAAAATTTTATATCTTTATGTTTGAAGCCTGAAATGTGGCGAAATGTTGAAAGGTTCAAGGGGGCCGAATACTTTCGCAAGGCACTGTAAGTTCAGTTTGGAAATGTAGGAGAGTGTCAGTGTTGCGGAGGTCAGCGAGAAGATCTGAATAGGCGGTCAGGAGGCACCAGGAGCTAGAAGAGGAACTTAGGCGAGGTGGTGGAGGAGCTCAGCGAGATAAGGAGGGGCAAGTTTGTGGATGGCTTTGAAAGTGAGATACGAGATTTTGACCAGAATGCGGTGGGTGATGGGGAGCCGGTGGAGCGGTTGTGGGACAGGGGCGAAGTGGTTGATGAAGGGAGTGTGTGCTGCACAGTTTTGGACCATGGAAGGTTTTTTTTGAGAGAGACCAAACAGAAGGGAATTGCAGTAATCCAGACTGAAAGTGAGGAGACTATGAACCAGGACTGCTGTGGACTGTGGAGTGAGGGAAGGCAGAGGCGGCGGATGTTGCAGAAGTGAAAGGAGGCGGAGCGAGTAACATCACCGGAACCAACCGCCTCAGTGTTTTTGATGCACTGAAACATTTGTTAGCTGTTTGCACATTGAAATAATACAGGAAGTGAGCAATATGAGAGGTTTTTTCCTGATTTACTTTTCAAAATGAACAAATAAGGTAATTTTTTTGTTAAATGTTAACTTATCTGAAGGTTTTTGGAAGTTTTGGATTATGTGGATTAGATGAACGGAATGAGACCCACCAAACCCACGCATCAAGTAGCGACTGGCTGATATTTAATGTAAACCAGATTTTAAAACTGACAATTACCAACATTTTTCAATTTTTGACACAGTTGTTTTGACTTTGACAGAAGCAATCTTCCTTGCAAACACTGCAATTCACCCTGAGAACTCAGCTGGCATCATTTATTTGAGTCTCTGCTGAGATGTTGCCGTTGCACTGGCATTGCAAGTTCTACATGTTCAAAGTTAAGTCTCTGGTGTATTGGGAATTCTAGTTTAACTTTTTAGCTGCATATTCAATTGTGGGAATCTGTACAAGTTTTGGTTTCATTGTATTCAAATATAATGTCACTGTTTTGGCTCTGTAACTTAATGAATATGAATTGAATATTAAACATGATCAAAGTATTCTAAAATAACGCATACAGTGTAACAGGTATAATATACAAATGAATGAAAACCCATTTAGACTCAACTTAGACTTGGATTTGATTTATGTTATTTATCCCAGTTTGTGACACTTTTTCACTCATTTTGTTTTTAATTTCAAGATGGGCTGGTCCCGATAGAAATAGGGGGGACTTCAGGACTTCTCCCTAGTCCCAAGACCGATACATTCAATACACTTAAATTGTGTTCGATAATTGTGAGAGTTTAGCTTGCATACGTTATTTAGGCAAGGCAAGGCAAGTTTATTTATATAGCACAATTCATACACAAGGCAATTCAAAGTGCTGAACAAAACAAGAAAGCATTAAAATCATAAATAATCACAGAACATTAAAAAGAAAGATAAAAATATAAAATCCCTCAGTTGTATGCACAGTTAAACAGAAATGTCTTTAACCTGGTTTTAAACATTGTCAGAGAGGAGGCCTGTCTCTCATCTTCAGGAAGACTGTTCCAGATTTTAGCAGCATGAATCTGAAAAGCAGCCTCCCCATGTTTAGTTCTGACTCTGGGCACTAACAGGAGACCAGTCCCTGTGCTCCTCAGAGTCCGGGCTGGTTCATATGGGACTAACATGTCACTAATATATTTTGGTGCGAGGCCATGGAGAGACTTGTACACAAGCAGAGCTGTTTTAAAGTCTATTCTCTGAGCCACAGGAAGCCAGTGCAGAGACCTGAGGACTGGACTAATGTGGTCGTACTTCCTGGTTCTAGTCAGGACTCGAGCTGCTGCATTTTGAATGTACTGCAGCTGTTTTACAGCCTGTTTGGACAGACCTGTGAGCAGGCCATTGCAGTAGTCTAACCTACTGGAGACAAATGCATGGATAAGAATCTCCAAGTCTGCTTTAGACACTATGTTTTTGATCCTGGAAATGTTTTTTAGATGGTAAAAAGCTGCTGATGTTACTGATTTGATGTGGCTATTAAAATTTAAGTCTGAGTCCAGTATTACCCCTAGATTTCTGACCTTGTTTGAAGGTTTTAGGGAGAGAGACTGGAGGTGACGGATGACGCTCTCTCTTTGTTTCTGGGGACCAAAGACAATCATTTCAGTTTTGTCTGCGTTTAGCTGAAGGAAGTTGTTTTGCATCCACTCACTGATCTGTTGGATACAGTGAAGGAGTGAGTCCACTGGTCCATGTTCTCCTGCAGTCAGTGAGACATAGATCTGAGTGTCGTCTGCATAGTTATGATAGGAAACTTCGTTTATTGTAATTTTATCACTTAAATACATGTAATTTGGTATTATTATATTAAAAACCAAAATAAATAACTTTATCTATTTCAGCCAATCACAGTGAAAGTTGTGAGATGTAAAAGCTGCCTGGCATCTTGAAGCAATTTATTTTTTATTTTTTTGTATTAATCTAAATTAGTTTTAACTCCCCTTCAGCCTTTTACACCGTTGCTGCCACAAGATTAGTGTTTTTTAATTTCAATTCAGGTCTCAGTAATTTCTTAATAATCCACCGATCTTTTGATTTTTGGCATAGCTGTATCCACAATATTGAAACGTATTGATATGCGCCCACTTATTGTATATTTATGTAAAATAAAACCAGTCAAGGAGAGCCGAGCAAAAACACTGACAAACTCAACACTCATGAATGCTCGAGTGAGTACATTAGTGAGAAAAAGCACAGGATGTAAGACAGGAGATGTATTGAGAGTGAGCTGAAAATGTGAGATGGTTTGAGGCACCCATCTGTCAAGGAAAAGAGACATGGGGACAGACAGTGAAGCAGGGATGGCACATGGATTAACAAACAAACACCATGTGGATGTGTACAAAGAGCGCCATTGTGAGACCGTTTTGAGAGGACGCGGACAGGGCACAGAATGGGACGTGAAAGACTGTGACACGGAGCAGTCCTGGGAGGCTGAGCGTGTGGGAGAACGTGAGAGTGGAGCCATAACTCGTCTGTCAATCCTGAGCTGTGATCGGCACCTCACTGTCCCTCTTTATCCCACCGGCTCGTCCTGTCAGGAAGAAGTAGGGCACAAGGTCAAAGAATCCCATGTACAATTACCTGCCCAGCTTTTTAAAACATACGCTGTCAGCCATATAAAATGGAGCGTGCATGCGTATGTACCAGATATATATTTTCTATCCAGTGGAGTTCCTAACTGCTGGAGGTCTCATGTGGGGTTTCCGAGTGCTGACTGGACCTCAGCCTTTGACACATGGCCTATGACTTTACAGTGTCAGCAGGAGTGCAGTGTTCCAGGCATAGCAGACGAGATCCAAAGAATTACTGTATGTATGCTTGTGCTAAAGGCAAGGCAGGGCATATTTATTTGTATAAACAATGTAATTATGAAAATGTCATTGGGGTAAGCTCCCACAAGTATTATACTTCGGCTTACTCCCTTTGAGCTGTGTCTATTTCTTCTTGAAATGTTTCCTTTTGGATTGTTTTTTTCTTTTTTTGTATGTTATGCATGACCTGCTCAAATAAATTTCTATCAAATCAAATCAAAACAATTCATACACAAGGCGACTCAAAGTGTTGAACAAGACAAGATAGAGATAGTCACTCAAGGCATTAAAACCAAAACTATATGAATAATAATAATAATAATTTTATTTGTGGGCGCCTTTCAAAATTCCCAAGGTCACCTTACAGGCAGCATAAAAACAGTATTAAACACACATTAAAAATACAATACAATACAAGGCCCAGAAGTAAAATACAGTGTGGAGTGCCAGAAGTTCTATAGAAAGATATGAGAAATATGGAGGATTATGTGGGATAGGCGCGTCTGAATAGCTCAGTTTTGAGTCGAGATTTAAATTCGGTGATAAACTATTGCACGAGTGTCATGTGAGAGATGATTCCAGAGATTGAGGGCATCACAGTACATTAAAAAGAAAGATAGAAATACAAACCCCCAAAGTTGTATGCACAGCTAAACAGAACTGTTTTAACCTGGATCTAAACATTGTCAGAGAAAAGGTCTGTCTCACATTTTCAGGAAGATTGTTTCAGATTTTAGCTGTATGTATCTGAAATGCTGCCTCCTCATGATTAGTTCTGACTCTGGACACAGGCAGGAGTTCAGATCCAGAAATTCCGAGATGTTTTTTGATTCTGTCAAAAAAATTACGTTCTCTCACACACCTCTTTGGGCATATTCCATTATGAAAAAGTAGTCTGTAGGAACTGTGAAAAGAGACTAACATTTAAATTACTTCAGGAGGCAATCCTAATATAAACGGTCTATTATCGTTTTAGGCTAAATGTGACTTGTCATGGTCATTTAAGGAATGCCTCCAAATAGATGTACTATATCTTACAAAACATGTGTATCTTTAGCCTTTCCTTTTGTCTTCGTTTCAGTGAAGACCAAATTCAGCAACATGAATAATTGCCTTTTTTCGAATTATCCAAACTGTGCATTATTTAAATATACTCCCAACCTCATCTGGAATGACAGGTTTTAAATCACACCTATTACAGGTTTTAATCAGCATGTAACACCTTCACCGGTGCTTGTGTGAATGCTGTGGCAGCTCTGTCTAAACAGACATTCAACCAGACAAGTTCCACCGAGCAGCGTTTGTTACATGTGATGATTTTAAAAAAACAATGATTTGCATTCATGCTCAAACACACAGTAATGAGAGGTGTCCATCTGGCACTTTTCGACGTGTGTGTAGTTAACGGTGTGTGTGTGTGTGTGTGTGTCTGTCTGTGTGTGCTCAGTAGGGGTTTGTGACTAATGGGGTCATTATTGATGCTGAGTCAGGATTACCGCTGATTGCGATGGCTGGATATCACCTTAACGAGTCTACAAACACCCATGCAGACTCTGCAGACACACTGGCTCTGTCTCGGCCACACACCCCTACACACACACTGACACACAAGCGCATCCACTCACCAACACACACACACACATGCCTGTCCCTCATAGGTGCACTTATGTACACTTTTGCATACAAACCTCTCACCTTGGCTAATAAACG